TCAAACAGCCCTGGTAAAAATTGCCCCGTCCAAGGGTCATAGACTTCCCTCACACTGCAAATAGTAAAACTTAACAAATTTCTTTTAAAAGAACCAAAGAGCTAGAATAAAGAATATCTTAGCATGAAAACATCTTCTATGAGATGTCTTACAATTTGGTTCAAATAAAAAACTGGGGTCAAAATTGGCGCCCAGCGGGTCCATTGATTTTTCCACTTATGCAAATATAGTAAACAACTTTAAAAAATCTTCTTTTAAAGAACTCAAAGAGCTAGAGCTCAAGATATTAGCATGAAACATGTTCTCACATGGTGTCATACCAAGTATGTTTCAATAAAAGCCCTGGTCAAAACTGGCCACCGCACGGGCGTTCATTGATTTTCCCTTAATGTGCTATAGCAAAACTAAAAAAATCTTCTTGAAAAACACAAAAATACTTGAGTCTTAAGATATTATACCATTCGAAACATTTTTTAAGGTACAATATCTACACAGTCATTCTTCAAAACTAAAAGCCCAGGGGTCAAAACTGGCCCTGCCTCCAGGGGTGTCATTGTTTAACTATATGTGTATATAAAAACTATACTATTTAAAAAACCCAAGAGCTAGAACTTAGATGTTTAGCATGAAACATCTCTTATGGGTGTCTACCAAGTCGTCACACTAGCTTGGTAAAATGGCCTGTAGGATATAACCAAAAGATTTTACACAAGACACCGCACCTTTGCAGAATTACTGTAATAAAACACTATAATAATAACAACTTTTTCCGCATTTTATTTGTCAATATTTACCAACGCTATTTTCAATCAAGATACTAGTGCTAATAACAATGTAATTACACATGTATAGTTACCAAAAAAAAACAACAGGAGTGGTAATTACCATGTCATTGTTATTTATAACAAGAGAGCCATGATGGCCCTGAGGTCGCTCACCTGTATATAGCCCCCCCCCCCCCCGGGCCAATTTTTACCCAAGGGCTTTTATTTGAACAGACTTGGTAGACACCCATAAGAAGATGTTTCATGCTAAACATCTAAGTTCTAGCTCATTGGGTTTTTTAAAAAGAAGATTTTTTAAGTTTTTACTATACACATATAGTTAAAAACAATGACACCCCTGGGGCAGGGCCAGTTTTGACCCCTGGGCTTTTATTTGAACAAACTTTGTAGATATTTACTTAAAAATGTTTCATGTATAATATCTAAACTCAAGCTATTTGGGTTTTTTCAAAGAAGATTTTTAAGTTTTTGCTATACACATATAAGGAAAATCAATGACCCCCGGTGCGTGGCCAGTTTTGACCCCAGGGCTTTTATTTGAACATACTTGGTAGACACCCATTAGAACATGTTTCATGCTAAATATCTTAGCTCTAGCTCTTTGAGTTCTTTAAAAAGAAGATTTTTTAAAGTTTTTACTATATGCATATAGGGAAAATCAATGACCCCTGGGGCGGGGCCAATTTTGACCCCAGGGCTTTTATTTTGAACAAACTTGGTAGACACTCATTAGAAGATGTTTCATGCTAAATATCTTAGCTCTAGCTCTTTGGGTTCTTTAAAAGAAGATTTTTTAAGTTTTTACTATATGCATATAGGGAAAATCTATGACCCCCTGGACGGGGCCAATTTTGACCCCAGGGCTTTTATTTGAACAAACTTGGTAGACATTCACTAGAAGATGTTTCATGCCAAATATCTAAGCTCTAGCTCTTACGGTTCTTTAAAAGAAGATTTTTTTAAGTTTTTACTATATGCATATAGGGAAAATCATTGACCCCCCGGGGCGGGGCCAATTTTGACCCCAGGGCTTTTATTTGAACAAACTTGGTAGACACTCACTAGAAGATATTTCATGTCAAATATCTTAGCTCTAGCTCTTTGGGTTCTTTAAAAGAAGATTTTTTAAGTTTTTACTATATGCATATAGGGAAAATCTATGACCCCCTGGGGCAGGGCCAATTTTGACCTCAGGGCTTTTATTTGAACAAACTTGGTAGACACTCATTAGAAGATGTTTCATGCTAAATATCTTAGCTCTAGCTCTTTGGGTTCTTTAAAAGAAGATTTTTTAAGTTTTTACTATATGCATATAGGGAAAATCAATGACCCCCCGGGGCGGGGCCAATTTTGTCCCCAGGGCTTTTATTTGAACAAACTTGGTAGACACTCACAAGAAGATGTTTCATGCCAAATATCTAAGCTCTAGCTCTTTGGTTTTTTAGAAGAAGATATTTAAAGTTTTTTCTTTTGGTTGCCATGGCAACCAGAGTTCTGCATGGAATTAAATTCTTTGAACAATTTTCAAAGGTGACCACCAAAGGAACATTCCTGTGAAGTTTGGATGAAATTGGCTTAGTGGTTTATGAGAAGATGTCATTTAAAGTAAAAGTTTACGGACGCCGGACGAAAAGCGATCACAAAAGCTCACCCTGTCACTTTGTGACAGGTGAGCTAAAAAGCCAATAATGTTATAAGCTAATCCTTAAAAACACAAAAATTGATCCCTTAAAAACATTTTAAACAAAATGTGTATGAAAACAATAAATCGTGTGTCTTTTGTAAAAACTTCCAAGCACTTGTTGAAGCAGACCCTTAAAAGGTTAATATTTGGGTACCTGGCATACAAACCCACACCTTGTCTTTCCCTTCTTGTCACAAAATTTTGTCCCTAGGCAGACAATGACAGTGTCACATATGCTTTCATATAATATCTAAATAATATTTATACAAGAGCGATCAGTAATCACATGTGTCGCCTCATGATGGCCAATTTCATGTTGGGACAAAGTTCGTGACAGACAGACAGACAGACAGACGGACAATGCACAACTAGACTTGGTAATGATCATTCCTGTACAGTTTGGATAAAATTGCACCAGTAGTTTATGAGGAGTAGTCCGGACAAGCTTTTGCGTATCTGGCAACACACAGAAAAACACCTTTTTATCAAAGGGCCATAACTCGGCCAAAAATCATTCAACCAGAAAACCCATGCATTATGCGTAAGGACTTGAGCTACAGATCAATCCTGTAAAGTTTCATTGAAATTGCTTTAGTGGTATAAGAGAAGTAGTCTGGACAAACTTTAAAAATAAAAAATTATTAAAGGGCCATAACTCTGACAAAAATCATTGAACCGGAAAATGCTGACAATATGCACAACTAGACTTGGTACTGATCATTCCTGTAAAGTTTGGATGAAATTGCACCATTAGTTAATGAGGAGTAGTCCGGACAAGCTTTTGCGTATCTGGCAACACACAGAAAAAACACCTTTTTTATCAAAGGGCCATAACTCGGCCAAAAATCATTCAACCGGAAAACCCTTGCAATATGCGCAAGGACTTGAGCTACAGATCAATCCTGTAAAGTTTCATTGAAATTGCATTAGTGGTATAAGAGAAGTAGTCCGGACAAACTTTAAAATTAAAAATTATTAAAGGGCCATAACTCTGCCAAAAATCATTGAACCGGAAAATGCTGACAATATGCACAACTAGACTTAGTACTGATCATTCCTGTAAAGTTTGGATGAAATTGCACCATTAGTTAATGAGGTGTAGTCCGGACAAGTTTTGTGACGGACAGACAGACGGACAGACAGACGACGGAGAAGTGATCCCTATATGTCGCCACTACTCCGTAGAGGCGACACAATAATATATATCCATCCACATCTTTTACATCAACCCTCTGCATGTAATGATATATCAAGTTGGGTTTCCAAGATTCGACCATGTTCCCTTCTCGTCACTTGTTTTGGTTATGTCCAAAACTCTGATGAAATTTCATTCAGAGAACAAAATCGTTATTTGCAACATTGTATATTTTTAATATATCGACAAATTTTGTAAGCAATGATGTTTATGTAAATAGAACTTACATGGTAAATCAAATGGCTAGATGTCGAAACATAGTTACCCAAGAGTAAATCAATTAAGAGAGAGAACTTTATTGCTGTCTGTATTACAGTAGGCAAGCACAAATACCAGCATCAAACCCACAAATAAAATTCCATCTTCCCATTGAAACTATAACACCAAAATCTCTCCCCTGGTTGGCATTTACTGCAGTAAAATAATAGATTTTCAAATGCAGGTAACATCTCAGCTTTTACTGCAGCAAAATAATGGATTCTTAAGTTCAAGTGTCATCATTAGATCTTGCTTTAGCACTCTGCAAAAATACACCAGAGCTTTGTATCACATACGTCAAATTTAATGATGCTGCCTTTCCTTCAACGTTTAAATTATATGTCTTTTGTGCAAAATTTTCGCCTGAAAAAGGAGGAAAATATATGCATATAATTCTACCAAAAGACCTTGTCAAGGTGCAATTCATATCAAGTATTCAGGAAAATTTGAATGACTGTAAGCTATCACATTAATTAAATATTCCGTCCAGAAAAAAATACTGTTACATTTACAGTATCGAGTTTTGTCTAAATGCATTTTACTAATGTTTTTTTTAACTTTTACCCTTGGTGAATCTCCTTTATCAACATGTCATGTGAATAAAATGCATAAAGTTTGATTATAAAATTATTGTTTTTCTGTTGTTGTTTTTTTTTACACTGATTTTAACATGCTTTTTGATTATAACTGCAGTGAATCCGTTTCACTGGCTTTCCTGGATAACTAACCAGTAATTACCTATTTCTTCACAAGTGAACCACTACTAATCCTACATGAATCCTGCTTTGAATTAGCAGTGACAGACAAATGACTGTTAGACTATGTATGTATCAATTGTCACAGAGAAACTACACCTCGTCCGAAGATCAAAATAACAACCCCTGGATAACTTTCTGATTCTCTCCCTATTCAGATAGCACGTGGAATTTGTTATTAAAGAAATCACAATGTCAACATTCTTAAGTTAAGCAGCCTACAAAGGTCACAAGTTCAAGTAATATTATTTATGTAGGTCCACTTAACAATAATAAATTGAAATTGAGAAGATTATTCTACATTGTTTTTCTACTATGTAACAAAGGTGCAGTAGGGACAAAGAGTATCAAATGACTGGTGTATTACTTGTAATATCTGCTACAGCTAGACGAAACTGTTTGAAGATTTGTGTGATAAACTTGAATTTCTTTCGGCATCCTAGCATCATCATGCCAGCACAACTGGAAAGAGAAAATAACAGCACTGCATGAATTACTACACACTCAAAAACATACCATAACAAGAGCTGTTGGTAGTATGCTTGAGTGATAAAAACTTGACTATTTTCAGTGCTTGATCGTATTCCAAGATCCTGCACAATTAAGGATCTTAGTTCAACATATCTTAAATATAAAGTAACCAAAATATGGGTTTAATTCAACCAAGAGGACAACATAATTGCCATAATTCTCTACATTTTCATAAAGAATTTCATTTCATTACAAAAGCTGCATGGCTCAAGATGGCCTAAAATATTTCTGGAAAATCAAACTTTAGAAAAACGTACTAAAATTTCAAGAAAAGCAAAAAGGTTCAGGATTCAAGTGCAGTTTGTAATTTGTCATTTACTTTCTTTGTTCGCTTCACAAAATTTTACTTCTAAATAAATTTTCAAAATTTTCATGAAAATTAGCAAGAATCTGGAGGCCTGCTGCTTTAACAACTGTAAAAGTACTGCTCATCAATAAGGCTCCCACGTTTACAAAAAATTGTAAACGTTTACACGATTGCTAAGAACCGAAACGATACCGTTTAAACGGTGGTACCTCTATGTACTATACACACCATGTATTTGAGTCGCCAAATGATGTCTTTCTTTCTATTTTTAATACATGTACAAATAAAGAATGTGCAGGGCTCATCACAATTGAGTCAGCACACATTTTTTGCATTATTACCCCATTTTTACCAAAAATGTATTATGTCACCAGCAATTTTGCATGGCAATGCTGTGTGGAGGGTTGTAAACACCCATTTTCCGTTTGTTTACATTGGAATAAACCACTAGAATTGATAAAATCCATGATTACAGGCAATGATTAAGAAATTTTGTAAGACAATATGGTCATTTTCGATTAAACGGTAAACAATATTGTAAACGTTTATGAATGAAAACCGGAACGAATCCGTTTAAACGTGTAATCGTGAGGGCCCTACTCATCAATAACTATAGATGTTTCAACTACTTACAAATTATGTATAGCTTTACTATTACACTGTTACAAGTCTCTTACAACAATCAAAACCTTAAAGCTGCATGCCTCTAGATGAGTCGAAATATTTTCAATTTCTTTAAATATTTTGACTCTTTTTTTTTAGATGCACGCCTTCGGGCATAAAAGCTATATATAAACTCAGAGCACTAACCTTTTAGTCTGTATATATGACAAAGTGTCTTCTAGAATGGCACATAGTCGAGCACATCCAACCTCTGGACTAGGATCCTGTAATACACACATGTATAACAACATCTAAAATATAACTGTTATAACTCTTTTTTTAAACAGGTATGTAAAATAATATGTTACATACAAAATACATGTATAACCAATCCCAATGAAAAATTTAAAGCAGCATGCCTCCAGATGAGTAAAAAAAATTCAAGAAATTTAATCTTTAGAGAAATGAATAAAGATCTTAAAAAAAGTAAAAAGATTCAATGCTAAATTAATTATTTACATGTTATGTGGGATTAATGACTGATTTTGCAGTATAAATCACTATAATTCTACTGTGTTACTAATGCAGTAAGAGGTATTTATGTATATTTTGACCCCTTTTTGGTAATTGACATGGATTGTACATGTAAGTGCCATTTGCAATGTGTAAACTACTTTCTTTGTTTACTTCACAGTATTTTACTTTTTAATACATTTTAAACTAGAACTATCACTAAATGTGATTAATACCCCCACCAGTCTGCTTCGGAAATGAGGATGTTACTAGTAACAGAATACCTTGTAAAAGAATTGAAACATAGAGTTATGGTTGTGGGCAATTAAAGATAATTGTGGTTCATGTATGTTGCATTTCCTTTCAATGTGGTTGGCCATTGATGAAGTTTAATTGAATTACTCTGTAATAAGTCCAGAAAGACAAAGAAAAAGAACAAAGGGCAATAACTCTATAAATACTGAAGATAGAGTTATAGTTCTTGTGCACTGCACTTCCTCTTAATGTGCTTGACCATTGTATGAAGTTGTTTTGAATTCCAACCAGTATGTTTTAAGTTATGCTCCGGACAAGGAAAAGTATCAAAGGGCAGTAACTCTGTATTTTGTCAAAATGGAGTTATGGCTTTTGTGCACTGCACTTCCTTTGAATGTCCTTGACAACTGTATGAAGTTGTACTGAATTCCAAACAGTAGTTTTCAAGTTATGCTCTGGACAAGGAAAAGTAACAAAGGGCAATAACTCTGTAATTAGTCAAGATGGAGTTATGGTTCTTGTGCACTGCACTTCCCCTTATTGTGCTTGACCATTGTATGAAGTTGTTTTGAATTCCAACCAGTAGTTTTAAAGTCATGCTCTGGACAAGGAAAAGAAACAAAGGGCAGTAACTCTGTAATAAGTCAAAATGGAGTTATTGTTCTTGTGCACTGCACTTCCTCTCAATGTGCTGGACCATTGTATGAAGTTATAATGAATTCCAACAATTAGTCTTCAAGCTATGGTCCGGACAAAAGAAAGCAATGGAAACGTAATAAAGGGCAATAACTCTGTAATTACTTTAGATAGAGTTATGGTTCTTATGCACTGCACTTCCTCTCAATGTGCTTGACCATTGTATGTAGTTATATTGAATTCCAACCATTAGTCTTCAAGTTATGCTCCGGACAAAAAAAAGAAGGCAAATGAAAAGCAACAAAGGGCAATAACTCTGTAATTACTTTAGATAGAGTTATGGTTCTTGTGCACTGCACTTCCCCTTATTGTGTTTGACAATTGTATGAAGTTGTTTTGAATTCCAACCAGTAGTTTTCAAGTTATGCCACGGACAAGGAAAAGTAACAAAGGGCAATAACTCTGTAATTAGTCAAGATAGAGTTATGTTTCTTACGCACTGCACTTCCTCTCAATGTGCTTGACCATTGTATGTAGTTATATTGAATTCCAACCATTAGTCTTCAAGTTATGCTCCGGACAAGGAAAATGCAACGGACAAAAAAAAAAAGCAATGGAAAAGCAACAAAGGGCAATAACTCTGTAATTACTTTAGATAGAGTTATGGTTCTTGTGCACTGCACTTCCCCTTATTGTGTTTGACAATTGTATGAAGTTGTTTTGAATTCCAACCAGTAGTTTTCAAGTTATGCCCCGGACAAGGAAAAGTAACAAAGGGCAATAACTCTGTAATTAGTCAAGATAGAGTTATGATTCTTGTGCACTGCACTTCCTCTCAATGTGCTTGACCATTGTATGTAGTTATATTGAATTCCAACCATTAGTTTTCAAGTTATGCTCCGGACAAGGAAAATGCAACGGACGTCTGGACCGACCGACCGACCGACCGACCGACCACCGGGTGACTCCTATATACCCCCCCAAATCTCGTTTTTGGGGGTATAAAAATTTCATGAAAATTAGCATGAATCTGGAGGCATGCTGCTTTAACAACATGTTTCAACTTACACAAGTTCAAAAATTGAGAGTTGAAGTCAATTTTATACATGTATGTGGTCAGTAGACATCATCATTGCATACAACTTCACTTGAAGCTTATTTTACAAGAAACATTGTATAACAGAAATCTTTTTCTTACAATAGTGACAATTTATACAATAAAATAAAATGCCATATTTCAAAAAATTCTCTATAATAATGCACATTTTAACGTATGATAAGAAAAAATCTTCTTTTTTTTCTTCAGGTAAATAGCTTTCTGTTTTTTCTTATTAAAAGTATCTTATAAAAATTTGTTTAAGTACAGACAAATGTTTCATGAAATCGAAAAGACAGCACCTTAAGTAACACTTTTAACTAAAACTTAAATATATTTCAGTGGATTTTTAAAAAACACATATTAAGCATAGTTACCACTTATTCTTCTCACATAGACAACAGAAGATAACTTACCATAGATTGTTGTAGATAAAAGTCAAGGTCATCAACAATCAGCATGTCCGGTACAAGAGATTTCGAGTGGATTGAAGCACAAAATTCAACCAGATTCTGCACTTTGTTTATATACCTGAAAAACAAAATCAAAAGTGACATTATAATAATATATATATGCTCAAATTTTCATTGTCAAGTCGAGTTGAACTGACTATATATTTCAAAAGACTGACTGTTATTAGGGTGATTGACCAACAGTTGATATTAAAGTTGAACTATGGAGTATTTTCAGACAAAAGTGAGAATCTACGATAAATATTCTTAGTCAGAAAAGGGGAATAACTGTGCAAAAATAAATTTCATAATTACCTGCCCTATAAAATAGAAATTCTTTTCACAGTAAGAAGTAATTCAAGTTTTAAATGAATGTATTTGACAGCTTTGTATGAAAAGAAAACAATCATAGTTAAATCAAGAGAAATAGATATTATAGAGACCAAGCTAAGAAATATAGCTAAATATAGAATCATGTAATAAAATCTTACATAAATGTGAGGGTTTTGAGTAAACCTGCAGTCTCGGGTCTCGTCATACCATGCACGGATAATGGCATCTGAGTAAGAGGACTGCGGCTAATGTATGTCACATGATAATCTTGACTGGCGTATGCCACTGCCGCTTGAAATAACAAAACTGTCTTACCACTGAAAAAACAACAGAAAAGAAAGCTATCACAATTAATCATACATGTATCCTGATATTTCTCGGAATCATTAATCACAACAAAATTACATGAAAGTCATGTAACTTACAAATCATACTAATGTCAATAAGGTTGTATCTTTAAAATATCTTTCAATATTTATGCCTTTGAATTATTAAGTTATTCAAACCATTTTTGAAACTTACCATTGACCTTCTCCAAGAAAAACCAAAGGACAATTCTCTTTATTTAACAGCTTCAAACAGTTAGTCAGTTTTGACTGGTCTTCCTCTATCTCAGTTTGTAACCACGGTGATGTCAGTGGAAAGGAATACAGTAGCCCAGTCATACCCTGTTAAGTTTACAACACATTTATGAATAGATGAATTCATGTTATCTTTTGATATATTGCCAAATCATTAACAGCTATTAAACAAGGAATATCACTAAACGTGATGAATGCTACCAGAACCTACACATCTGTCAATGTATTTCAATGCACGGTTATGCACCCTTATCCATTTTTAATTTTTTTTTAAATTTGTTGGCTGTATAAGCAAACGGGTAAAAAATCTATTTTATGCACTTGTGACTTTGTCTCAAGAGTGTGTTTACTTAATTTAAAGTTAGAAGACCAATCTTGGTAGCTGACCTACCAAATGTGGCATTGGTCAATAAATACAATGAAATAAAGGCTGCATACGCAAAAATGTAACAAGCATTATTTCAAAGTAGCATATTAAGAGTAATGGTTTAATATAAAACACAAAATATGCTTAAGTTATGTTTCATTAATTTGATGCTGCACTTCCACTGAGTGGCCTTTAAGAATTATAAAGGGTGAATAATAATAAGTATAACTGTGTGAAGTTTCAATGAGATTGTAACTCTGATGTTTGATTTTCAAGCTCATGCATCCAAGTGGGTGCATAAAAATATAATGCTAGTTTACATCATAAAAAAGTTAAAAACCCAGTACACAACTTTTTGCTATATATATATATATATATATATATATATATATAAAACTTAACATTGTCAGTAAACACTTTTGTTTAGTATGGAGTTGAGCAGCTAATATGAGTTGTTTAGGACACAACAAATTATTGCTTGGACCAACTGAATAGATTACTATGGTGGCTAATTTGTGCCATGTTATAAGTTTGCTCCGCGGGGCATCAGAGAAAAATATGATAATATGACAAAGAGGCCAATTTGTCATTATAGTAACTTGCGCTCCACTCCGCGTCTGATGCCGCAAGTGGAGCAAAAGGCACAAGCCGGAATTTCGACAATTAATCACTTTGTCATATTTTGTGCCTGGCACCCCATGGAGCTAAAAGTATGTAAAAAGTGGTGGCTTTGTTGTATTTTTTTGTTATTCTCTGGAGCCCCGCAGAGCAAAAACACGACATGGCACAAATCAGTCACCATAAATCATTTACATTGGACCACTGAAAATTGACAGCGATGTTAATCTCTGTTTATCATTAAAAAAGAAATATAAGTTAATTCAATATTTCATCATATAGAGTAGGTTATTTTTAACGAATATCATACAACATGTGGACAAGAATGTACATAAAACTTGCGATAATTACAGACTATCCGAAATTTGTCCATATCCAGAAACTGATCAAGTTACAGTTCATTGCCTGTTATTTCTTGAATTACTTTCTAAATAAATCAATTACTATATTTTTCTGTTCGACAAATATGTTAAGATCGTTACTGTTATATCTGATGACTTTTTAAAATGTATCTACCTATTTTTACCTTGCTTTTTTATGCCATTTATGTAAAAAAATGGTCTGCGTGTTGTTTACAAAAGCACGACTAATAAAAAATATCACTGTCATCATCCTCATGTTCTGAAAAATTCCCAATCTTTAAAAACATTGTTACAAACGGGTGATCGACGTGCACATATTACTTTAACAAAAATCGAAGATATTATATAAAAGCCTACTTAGCAAAATATAAAATTTCTAGGTTAAAAGTAAAAAACTAATTTAGATTAACATATCTATTGTAAACTTACTAGATCAGCTTACACCATTCACTAGTAGAACTCTTGTAAAAGTGAAAATGATCTCTGATCTGATTTCTTTGCTCACATTCTCAAGCGAGGTGTTTTTAGTAGCCAGTTCTCAAGGAAATCAGACAGATGGTAGGTCATGGTCAGCTGCATAAAATGCATGGTGTTTATATCAAAATACCTGCAGATAAAATCACTATGTATACAACCTAAATTCTCTATGCCATGTGGGCATATGGTTGGCCATTTTTCTTAAGACAGCATCAACTTCAAGCCTGCGGAACAAAATTGGATAGATAGGTCGCTCGTGCTAGGCTACAGAAAATGGAGTAGTTCTACGAAAATACATTCAATTAATATCACCCTCATCGCTGTGGGTCCGATCCAGACAAAGAAAAAATGAGGCGGCTATCCAGCTAGCTTACAGAAAGTTGGTGGTTCTACTACAATCCAATATGTTTATACCATACACAATGTACAGTAGTAGGTATTAGTGCTCTTGCGACACATGGTGAACAATGCCTATTGTGCTTAAGACCATTTCCTTTTGAGAACTTTTGACTGTACTGTTTTTGCAAAAGGCCATGATGATGTCCCTGTGAACTATGCAAAACAATTCTCGAGACTAAATCCTACAAGTTAAAACAATTTCATGTAATTGCATGTTTTTCACCTTTATTTCTATAGTACAGTAATGATAACAACAAAAAGGGTTACACATATACATCAATGCCTTTAACATAAACAAAACAATGAACATCATATTAGTATTCCTCTCTCTCTTTCTCTCGTAAACTCAGATAAATATTAAATATATTCAATGTATACAGATGAAAATATAAATCTATTTTCTAGCATACGTCCCAAAGTTTCTGTCACATAAATCATGAAATTTTATTTTTAAGTTTACTGTCTTTTATAACAAGATGTATCAAAATGAAGAAGAAATCATCCAGAAATAGAACATCTGTACATCAATCGTAATATTCATGTGACTCCCCTAGTTTCCAACATAATATTACTGTTAGAATTACTTTTAGGTAGGTACATATTAATGTGACACCTATGGTAACTTAAAACAATATTGATCAGTGTTTTCTAAATGCATACTTCTCCATGTCCACATAATAGTGACAATGAATGGCAGGATAAATACCAGATCTAGGAATTCAAACATCAGTTGTTGTTTTTTTATTAGAACGTTATTTACTTTTACAAGGTCCTTGAGAGAAATCTGCAATCAAAACCATCATAATTTACACTACAGCAAAATTTTAACTCGGGCACAATGATCACCTAACTAGAACCACTGGACCTTCCTTATTCAGCTGGATGTATAGTTAATTTTTTTAAGAATTAAGATACCACAGCGGAACATAGAAAAAAATGAGTGTTTCATAATCTTTATTGAATCATTCCAGCAGACGAAAAACTACATATATGTTGATTAACATGTGCCACTTTCTACTTCAGATAACTAGTAATGTACAAGAACTGTGTGCAGTTTTTTTCCACAATCATAGTTTGTGCAACAATATATTGTTATACAGTGTATAGATTACGATTCCATATACATGTATATATTACAAAAAAAAAACAAAATCTTTGCTAAGCAATTTCTTTAAACTTTATCCAGACAAAATAATCAGTTTTCACTTACATGTATATTCATATATTTAAATTTTGCAAACTTATACGTATTAACCCCTTCCTCGAACTAATCAGTACTGGTTTCATATAAAAACCTTGTCATGACACAAGTAGTATTTAAACCCTTGATTCCTAGATTGAGAGGCAAACACCTTAACCACTAAGTTATCACTACCAACTGACTTAAGATTATAATGTTTGAACACACTGAAGTTTTCTGTCTTAAATTACTTTGAATAGTACATTTCTTTAAAAAAGAGCAATGGCATTTCTATTTTGCTTTTTGAAATTTACTGACAAATGGAGTCTGTCCAAAATTACTAAATTCACACTGATCAAAAGAAGTTTTGAAAAAAAAAAAATCCCTTTTGCAAAATGAATCTACCTGCAAATTTTAGTTAACCAATATCTGGAAGGAATTCAAAATCAAACAATCACATTTTAGTGTACATAGACCAATGAACAATAAAATATTGAAATAACCCTCCTATGTACATTTTAAATAGTTATGTCTACTTATGTTTATATACACACCAAAACAGTTCATATCACAGTATTTCTTATATAAAGAATCTCCTATGCTTTACAGTAAATATAGCAGCAAAAAAACCCTCTCCTGACAATAATTGATAAGCACAATAAAATTTAATATCGCATTTTCAACACTTAAGACCAATAGCTGGGATATTTGGACCTATGCCTCCAGTACAGTCCGGTCAGCATGTACACACATATGCCCTATATGTTCAGATTGCACAGAGTCGACTGCTGGTTTGTATTATTTTGAAATACTTCAAAATTTAAAGCTTGACAGTTCTATTGTACAAAATCAGCAGAATTAAACATGGGTAATAAACATAGCATGACAGTCTATGATTTTCATATTATGAAAAAAGAATATCTGTGTTTTATCCAAATGCATTCCAAAAATGAGCAACATGCCTATACAATGTAATAATCTTTATTACACATGTAGACCTTTGTTTTACTCATTTTTTTACTCTTTTACAGCTAAATTTGCATAATGTGCTCGACCTTCTTTTGATATGGAACTGGCTGTTGTAATACCAGGGTGTAATTAAGCAACCATTAACAAAGTTGTGAAGTGTGACTGCAAGGATTGATATGTATAGGCTGGCCCATGTTTACTGTTAGCATAAGTAACTCATTCCTGCTGCTAACATCAACAAAGTTAATATATATCAATAAATAAGACAGCCTATGATATCACTGCATCCAATACCAACAATATTACAAACTGAAAAATATTTTAAAATCAATGCAAATAAAATGAGGCTGAATTAAGCTGACAAAATTGTTAAAGTACCGTACAATCTGGTTAGTGTCAGTGATGAAATTTGTTGACATTTACAGAAAATTTCCTAACACATTAGCTAAGCTGTTAGTATTTAAATTGTGAATGCATCATTGTATGATAGACTGATAACAGATCTTGACATTTTACAATAATAAAGCTCAAATTGATATAAAGTTATCCTCATTGAAATGCTCTAATGTATTTAAATGCTGTAAAATCTTAACACACAACATTATAATAAATTAAATAACTGTATTTATTAACAACCCATAACCTGTTGAAACAAAGAATGTTTAGCCTTTGTCACCAGTATAGAGCCAGGCTAGCCAAAGTATAGTCAGGCCAGCCTAGATACATTCCTATCAGGCTCTTTACTGTTGGCATTCTCCACTTTTCTATTTTGATTGAGAACTTTTTTTTAAAATGGACTTTTGCATATATAAAGGTAGACAAATCGGTTGCACAAATTAAGCCGGTTAAGGACCAACTAAGAACTTGCATACATTTTGTATCCCACAAGAATGAATAATTCAAATAAAAATTCTGATCTATTTAGAAAATGAATGACTCCAAGTCACTGGTCCCATAAAGATAATTATGGTCTCTCTATCATATGGTATGGTTTGTTGATCATGATTGTAAAATTTATACCTTAACATGTCCCTCAAATATACTTGTCAATATTTGATAATAAACTATACACAACCATTGTCCCAGCACAATAAGCAATTTCTTTTTATAAAAAACAAAAATACCCCCAATAAAGTCTATACACTTCAGGAATACACAACTAAGTTTAAGCTTGCACTTGTAGCATTTCTTTCAGTTCCTTATACAGTTCACCATAAAAAACTACTTAAAAAAAACATACATTCAGCATATTAGAATATGCAATAACCAAGAAAAAAAAAACACAAGCCAAATGATTAATATTTACATCAACATTAAGGATTCAATTCTATAACAAGAACAAGTAATTATTTTCAATAAATTCACTTGATAACAAAGGACTAAGTTTGTGAGGACTCTTGTTCTATTTGTTTAAGAATTTCGTTTTCGATATCGGGGTCATCGATATCGTCTCCGTCATTAACCATTTCGTATTCCTGAAGCTCGCGTTGTAATTCTTCTTCCCATTCTGGTACGTCTGGTTTTTCAAATTTCATATCTGAAAATAGACAGTTGTAAACATTACTGTTAATGCTAAATTTGTTATTACTTCACTTTCATTAACTTTAAAATCTAAAAAGTTAGTTATACATGTAGTTTAAATATATTGTTACAGACTAAAAACAGATTAGTACCAAAGTTTATGTTCCTCTTTAAGAGGGATTGCACATTGCGAACTGAATCATTGTTGCACAAGACTAATGAATCAACCATTTTCATAAAAAGGATCATAGCGGGTGTACATGCATAAGGTGATAACAGCTTTCTGCAACTACAAAATTGTTTTCTAAAGAAATAAGCAAATTCCAACAAACAACATAAGCTAAAATTATTTGTTTTTCCTTTGGTCTGCTGAGGGCAACTTATTCTACCCTTGTGACCAGTGCAAACCAAGATCAGCTGTCACATTTTTGCAATTCAATCATTGTCTGCACTGTTTGCTATTAAGGCGATATATATTTTGAAATTTTCCCTAAAAATGATGAATGAGTTTGTCCATATTGAATGCTGGACAAGTCCATTTATGATAAATGTATAAATGTGGGTATGGTTTAAAAACAAAACTTATTCTGCAATACACTTTCTACAATCTTACAAAATCACAACATTTCTAATTTTGATTACCAATTTCTAGTAACATTTGTAAAGTGCAATTCATACTTTGTTAAGTGCAAAGAAACCCTGTATCAGTATATACTTAGAGGGAAAAAAAGACAGCCCTAGAATGATGCTCAGTATTTTAGTTTATTAAATCAGACTTGCATATTACCTGTTTTCAACAGATTATTTTTTATCATAAAACATAATTATGCTTTAAATAATGTATTTATATTGTTACACAAAAAATCAAGTCTTCCTATAACTTTTTTTTCTAAGTGCCATTTATGGTTTTTTCTAAGTACCATTTATGGTTTTTTCTAGGTGCCATTTATGGAAAGTAATTACATATGTTCATTTTTTTGTAAACAGGGAAAACAGCAGCTGCTGTAATGAGAAAACAAAACTGTTGTATTCCTTGACAGTGAAATATTTAAAATCAATCTTTCTTGCAAATCAACCCCTAACTTGCTGGAACCAAAAATTTATAAGCTGTTACCACCAGTATAGAACCAGGCTAGACTTCACAGATGTACAGTCTGACCAGGCCCTATACTGTTTGTTGACTAATATACCTAAAATTGGTCATGGAACAGTCCTAGATTGAAAGGTGGACCAGTTTATATAAGAAATACAGTAGAACTACTTTTTTGCTCGCCCATATGGTCTTTTTCCTGTGGCGAGGGTAAACAAACGCATACACACACGCACAACTTTTATAGGTCTGAACTTATATGATGAAGTGACAAGTTATTACTTAAAATCTTTATTAAATTCTGTACAATGAAACAAAAAAGTAAACAATAAAAATAAACATGTATCTCTAAGGTAAACAATACCTGTACAAGAATTATGACCTACTTATATAATAATGATGTCAAATTTTTAATGAAGAACCAAAGTGGTCTATAAGTAATACATTGAATTACTATTTTACAGTCTAACAAGTTCTATTAACTTTCAAAATTAAAATGGAAAACCCCCATGTAAGAATTTTTTGTATTTCTTAACAATTAAAAGGTTATTTCTGTATAGGGAATGGTTAAGGCTAAGCTAAATTAAATACATTTGACAACATTTTACTTATATGAGTAACTGTAGTTTTCACAAAAATCAACACAAGCCTGGAGGTGTCCTGCTTTAGACATAATATATATAAGATCTTACAGGAGTTGGTTTAATTACAAGCACGAGAAGGAAGCTAGGATGGCATGCAAGACAACAGAAAGACAGTGTACATAAGGAAGAACAACCCACGGTTAAAGAAATACTTTATTAATTCCTCTTGAAGCAATTATATTTATGTAAGGGATTTAAAATCAAATGGACATGATTGCTTTACTGTAAAATACTAAATAAAGCTAAAAATGCATTATGTACTTTTAAATATTAAAAATTGCACCTTAATAGCACAATAAATTAATTCTTGGTCCGTTTTGTAGATATAACAGAACCACTATTTAGGCATTACTTTTAAAGCATGAAAATGTTATTTTAAATATTTTCTATCATTAATTTAACAAAATCAGTCAATGACTCATCATTGCCTAATCAATATGTTTTAAGACAGCTTCACTATTGGTAAAATACAAAATCAAATTGCTTTAGAAAACACCTACATATAAATATACAAATTTTTATTATATGTTATATTTGACTGACTTACATCTGTACAATTTGTTGTTTTCAAGGGAACTAACTCCTGTAACAATTGAATGTTAACATAGTTATCGCCCTTAGCCTCCTTTCTCAGATAAAGATCTTATTTATAGAAATAATTAAACCATACATCTTGAATGGTATAAAAAGTTATGTTTTGAACAAATTATTAGATAGCCAAATAAGAAATTTGAAAAATAATTAATCTGTTAAGATCTTTATCTAAAAATTTTGCATCGCTGCAAGTATTTCTGAAAGATTTCTACCCAATAATACACTAAATACTAGCCCCAATAATAGCCATGTTAATCAATCAAAGCCTAACATGTTATTGGAATATATAAGTAAAGATGATGTGCCCTCTGTGGTCCTACCTAAGAATTTTGTTGCTCATCTTGTTTTTGTTCCTGGTGCAAAGCTAAATATTCATCAATAAGAGCTTGTTCCCAATCATCATCTTCATCATTTCCTGCACAGACAGACATATCATCAACCATTTATGTAATTGTATGCTAATTTTAGAAATCCAGTATCTATGAAATGCTGTATTCATTTCTGTGGTCAGTCTATTTCTTTATTTTTTCCCAAATATTCTAAAATTATTACTTTTTTTTCGATCTACATTGAGCCTTAATGAGGGCTATGGACATTCAAGACTTGCCAATGCCACAAGTTTAAACCTAGATCAGCTTGTTCATCTGTGTAATTTGAGCATGATCTATAAAGTTGACTGCTTAATATTCATTATTCAATTATTTGGATATCAGAATCCCTCATATTAATACTGGACTGTTTCCAATTCAAAGTCCAGTATATAAAATAAGTTTTTACTGTATAAGAAAATCTCCAGGCGTCATTCTGTACATTTCATTTTATGCAACGTAGAACCACCAATCTTCTTTAACTAAGAATGGTTTTTTTTTTTTTTTTTTTTTTTTTTGACAAGGTTAAAAATTCATCTTGCCAAAATAATAATTCTAGTCACGATTTCCCATGCATGTTGATAATAATCATGGACATGTTATATGATGATCTGTTTAAGAGTTGTTCAAAATCTTTACAATAATATGATCACTTTGCTTGTTAAAGGTTCAGAGATGTTCCAGAAAGTGTGGACAAACAGATGGCACACAATCAACACTCTGACATAAAAAGCTAATAAGATACATTTTGTGCAGAGTAAGATTTCCAAATTCTTTAAAGCTGCATACATCTATATAGTGTGTAAACATTTTACGAAAGAATCAATCATGGAAACAATTATACAAAGAGATTAAGAAATGTATATTCACACATGATGTGACCCTTTGCAAAACAAACAAAATTTATCATTTTAATCAAACGTGCTTCAACTGAGTAAACCCATGCCACCAGCAGCACAGACCACAATAAGTCAACTCATCTGTCTGCACATTTCACTTTTCAGTAAAAACATAATTTAAAATTTTCCCTTAAAATGATGAATGGTTTTATTCACATTGAAAGATAGAGAAGTCCATTTCAGATATTTAGTTGGGTAAGGATTATACATTTGACTGTCTTTACAATTTTGAACACTTTCTGCATTTTCTTCTTTAAAGAAAGAGCATTCATTTAAGATATTTAGTTGGGTAAGGATTATACATTTGACTGTCTTTACAATTTTGAACACTTTCTGCATTTTCTTCTTTAAAGAAAGAGCATTCATTTAAGATATTTAGTTGGGTAAGGATTATACATTTGACTGTCTTTACAATTTTTGAACACTTTCTGCATTTTCTTCTTTAAAGAAAGAGCATTCATTTAAGATATTTAGTTGGGTAAGGATTATACATTTGACTGTCTTTACAATTTTGAACACTTTCTGCATTTTCTTCTTTAAAGAAAGAGCATTCATTTAAGATATTTAGTTGGGTAAGGATTATACATTTGACTGTCTTTACAATTTTGAACACTTTCTGCATTTTCTTCTTTAAAGAAAGAGCATTCATTTAAGATATTTAGTTGGGTAAGGATTATACATTTGACTGTCTTTACAATTTTGAACACTTTCTGCATTCATCTTTAAAACAAGATTGCATTTGAGAAAAATGCTATGCCACCGCATGGTTCAAATTTCATAGCTGTACATCAAAGGACAAGAAAGTAGGTCATATCATCAAAATCTAGGTCAAAGTTAAATTTTACAACTAAAACTGTGCACATGGTCAAAATGTCATTGCTGTACATCAAAGGACAAGAAAGTAGGTCACTGTCCCCTTGGGCAAGGCATACTTTTGACGCAAGGGTTTAATAACAATCTTGATACAGGTCCACCACTCAACATTTCACGTCAAATATCTAAGCTATAGCTTTCTCCCATTCAGAAAACATTTGTTTTATTTTCTGTTTTTACTACGTGTACATAATGAGAATCACTGCCCCCGGGCAGGGCCAATTTTTGACATTTGAACAACTTTGGTAGAGGACCTATATATGATATTATATATCAAACATCAAAGATCTATGCCTTGAACCTTCAGACAATTTTTTTCACTATATGTACATTATGAAAATCAATGACCCCCGGGGCGGAACCAATTTTGACCCCAGGGCTATAATTTGAACAATCTTGCTAGAGGTTCACTACACAATGTTTCATGCAAAATATCTTAACTCTATCCTTTGTAAATTTAGAGAAGATGATTTTTTAAGTTTTAACTATATACATATGAGATAAACCTCTGGCTCCCAGGGGCGGGGCTAATTTTGACACAAGAGGCA